TTAGTTCGATTGGTAACCCATTGGCACCTTCAGCTTTACTATTCTTCAGATGATTGATTGTATTTGGTCGAATTAACGTATATAAAATTTATTTCCAAACTATCAACCATCATATCCAACGTAAAAGACACTGCTATCGTATGTACTTTCTCTTTTTTACACCAATTATATAAAAAATGGCGCCCAACGTGGGGCTCAAACACAAAACGCTACGATAAGGGGAATGTTTAACTGACTCACGGCAACTTCCCAGCAACGCAGAGTCAATTGACAAAGTAATTAGAATATTTCGCAATTTAGACACCAGCTGAAACAGCATTTATAATAAAATTAATTTCTTATAAATAAATACTCCTCCATATAAAAAGGTTTTAACTAATAATTCACAATTCTTAATCGATGACGTTAATAACATTGAATCGATTCCCCCACTAATATTAATATTTGCACATTCTGAACAAAATTATATTGCCCTCTCTTTTACTCTCCCTCGCGCTTATGCACGTGCTCATATAGCGACAATAATTCTTAACTGATTTATATTTTTTTGTTTAATTTGTTGAAATATAAAACGCATTCCATTTTATATTCATAATACATAGTCGTCACAAACATACAAACACACACACACATTGAAACGTAGATTAATCGCATCATTGTGACAATATGCAGACGAGCTGGCAGAGAGCAAGAGAACACCCATCCCATATTTTTTAAATAAAGCTTAGAGTTGTTGTTGTTGGTTGATATTGTTTTTATTGCTATATTAATTGTAATGTAAAGGGTTGTTGGTTCGTTGCTGTTACTATGTTAAAACAATAACAATGCAATTATAACATTATTATTATGTGAGTTATGAGAATTGTGAGAGAATGTTCATAACATAACATATTCTGTTAACATAGTGATAGAGAGAGAGAGAGATTGATTGGATTTAACAGTTGGTGCCAGAAATTAGCAGCAATTAATTGGGATAAAATCAAATACTGATGCACAGTGTCTTCGAGAAAATAATGTCTCACTTTACCTAATAATAAACAAGTAAAAACAATGATAAGTTCGGAACACCTTGAGGATGACAATCAAAATATCTAAAAGTAGTCCTATCATGTTATGATAGGCCGTTGAACATACCGAAAAATACGTTAGAAAAAAGATTGTAATTCTCAAAATATCTTGAAGTGAGACTACCGTTATATGGGGCTATAATAAAACTAAGATCAATGTTCACATTGTTTGAGATCTGACAGCCAATGAGAATCCAAAATACCATATTACAGTCAATTTTGTTAAAAAACGTGTTCAAAATTTCGACTTGGGTAAATGTTAATAATCTTTAGTGCGAAAATGTGGCGGTACCGTTATGAGAACCCAAAATACCAAACTACAGCCAATTTGATTGAAAACCATGTAAAAGAAATCCCCACCTGGGTGATACCATAGTATGGGGGCTACCCTTAAACGTGGGTCAATATTAACAAGTGAAAAAGCATTAAGTTCGGCCGGGCCAAACTTTGGATACCCTCCACCAAACTTTGGATACCCTCCGGTTCATATATATGAATATATATAAGGTTAATTATCGTACCTTATGTTCTAGTTTTTTTTTCGTATCTTCCGCAGATGAAATGATTTCAACACAGTCTTAGAACCAAACCCAAACACGGAACAAATCATATAACTATTTTAATATAAAAAAGGGGTAATATGGGGACGACCCCAAAAAGGGGGCGAATATTAAACATTTTTGGTAGGGAGTTTTGTTACCATAAACGACTACAAAATACCAAATTGCAGCGAATTTGGTTGAAAAACTCGCTCAAGAACCCCAAAATACTGAAAATTGGGGTACCCTTATATGGGGGCTACCCGAAAAAATGGACCTATGTTCATATTTTTTTGTGGAGAGATTTGGAACCTATTAATAACTCAAAATACTAAATTACAGCCAATCCCGTGGAAAAATACGATTAAGTCCCCCAAAATATTGAAAATTAGGAGGTATCGTTATAAGGGGGCTACCAGACAAAGTGGACCTATATTTATACTTTTTTGTGGAGACATTTAATACCCAATAAGACCCAATGTACCAAATTTCAGTGAATTCGGTTGAAAAACGCACTCAAGAACCCCAACATACCGAAAATTGGGGGTAGCACTATATGGGGGCTACCCGAAGAAATGAACCTATGTTCATAGTTTTTTGTGGAGAGATTTGGAACCTATTAAGAACTCAAAATATTAAATTACAGCCAATTCGGTGGGAAAATACGATTAAGACCCCCAAAATACTGAAAATTAGGAGGTATCGTTATAAGGGGTCTACCAGAAAAAGTGGACCGATATTTATACTTGTTCGTGGAGACATTTAGTACCCAATAGGAACCCAATATACTAAATTTCAGTGAATTCGGTTGAAAAACGCGCTCAAGAACCCCAAAATACCGAAAATTGGGGGTACCCCTATATGGGGGCTACACGAAGAAATGGACCTATGTTCATAATTTTTTGTGGAGAGATTTGGGACCTATTAACAACTCAAAATACTAAATTACAGCCAATTCGGTGAAAAAATACGACCAAGACCCCCAAAATACTGAAAATTAGGTGGTACCAGAAAAAGTGGACCTATATTTATACTTTTTGTGGGGACATTTAGTATCCAATAGGAACCCAATATACCAAATTTCAGTGAATTCGGTTGAAAAACGCGCTCAAGAACCCCAAAATACCGAAAATTGGGGGGTACCCTTATATGGGAGCTATGGCTAAACGTGGACCGATATATCCTATCTTCGAACTTGACCTGCCTGCAGACAAAAGACAAGTCTTTGCTAAATTTCAGCACCCTATCTCAATTCCTTTAGAAGATAGCGTGATTACAACAGACGGACGGACAGACGAACGAAAATGGCTAGATCGTCTTAAAATTTTACCCTGATCAAGAAAATGAATATTTCGATGAGTTACAAACGGAATGACAAAATTAATATACCCTTCATACTATTGTGGGGGGTATAAAAAATATACGCTATGCAGAGTCCCCCGAAGAAATAGTTTTTATTTGTTTGCGCTATGTAGAGGCTTTGGTAAAAAACTTTTTTTTAATCTACGCATAGATACTCGATAAATTGTTTTTTAAGGAATCTACGTAGAGTCCACGCAGATTCCTACGTCGTAGACTTTCTGACGTTCTCTTTATAGTAATTATATGGCCTTTTATAAATTTTACTTTGATTGAGTTATTCTTATTTAACCCTTAATTTGTAAAACTGCAAAAAATGCACTCAGTTCGTTGTGAACTTGTTCGAGTTGCATATGCTAAGATTCATTCATTAACTCCTTTTTTATGTTAAACATGTTTGGCGATACACTTCATTTAATGCTATTAACAGTTTCATTAGCATAATAACAGTTTTGCCTATGATGTTATTCTATGTGTGTGTTTGTGCATGTTTAACATTAACATCTCCCTTTTGAAGCAAGAACAAAGCAAACAAAAATGTAAACATGCCATTCATTGATGCTGCCGAACTGAGAGTGTGTGTTCAGTGCCAAATGTTAAGTACAGAGTTTTAATTGTAATTTGAAGAGTTTGTGTTCTCTCTCTCTCTCGCACACACGCTCTCTGTGTAATGCTGACATCGTTGTCGATGTGTTGTTGTTGTTATTTTGATTCTATGTTGCTGTTTTGGCCAGGCAAATGGGTGAGACTATTAAAATGTGTGCTGTACGACCGTGTGTTTGTGTGTGCGCCTGTATGTTTATTTGTGCATCATACTTAACACAATCGTCATAAGAAATTGATTTCATTAGTTTGGTCGTTGTTGCCGTTGTCGTCGTCGTCGTTTTTATTCCATTTCGTTTGTGAGTTCGGTCGTTTGGTTCGGTCTCGTTTGTTTGTATGTTTGATGATTGTTTTGTTCTGAGTTTGGAACATTGTCTTGTGTGTGCCTGCCCGACCGCCTTAGTCAGCCAGTCAGTCTTACTCCTCTCTGTTACGTGTTAGCAGCAGCAGCAAGTGAGCGAGTAGCTGAGTTTGTGTGTACGATTGTGTTTTGTTTTGCTTTAGTCGTGTGTTATTTTTTCGTGGTTGGTTTAAATTTTTTTCGAATTGCGCGCCCTTAGTCATTGACTAAACGTTCAACAGCGAACAAGCGTGAGCGGCAATTTAATTAATAAGAAAATAATAAATAAATAAATGAAAGAAAGAATTATCAACAAGAAAAAACCAAAAAATTATTTGATATTAAAAGATATAATAAAGAATTGATGAATATTATTTCAAAAAAATTAAGAAAAAAATATAGTGACAAACAAATTAAAAAAAAAACAATTTTTTGAATAATGAAAAAAACCTAACGAAAAAAGTGTTAATTTTAAAAACAAATATTTTTTTATGTTGAGAAGAAGTGTCTGCTACTGCTACCATCAACACGACTAATTTTGGATTATTTGTTTTCCTACGATTTTTTGACATTTTCATTTAAATCACCGTATCTATATAAATGACAAATAAACAACAGTAACAACAAATCAACGTAATATGCCAAATCATATGATATTGTCATTACGTTCCTTCTACTCTTTCTTCAACTTCATTATCATCGCCCTTGCTGGTCCATTCATCTACGCCTCCACCCAGCCGTTGGTGTTTCGTTAAAAAAAATATTCGAAGTGAAAAAGGAAAAAACAACAAGAATCCAGAACTTGTGACAGTTATAAAATAATACAAACAACAAACAAATTAAAGCCACACTCTAACGAAAAACGCCGCTAAAACAAAACACACATTTTTTTTAAATAAATATTGCTGCAGGAAAATCTATTTAAAAAAATATCCAAATAACAAAAAAGTGATAATTGTGACAATTTTTTGGAATAAAAAAGAAGAAAAAGATATTTTTTTTTTATAAAACGAGCAGAAGAATTTCTGCAACAAATTGAAGCAACAAAACTCCTTCTCCTTTGGGATTACAAACAACAAATAGAAGAAGACAAATTTTGGCTGGATCCATCTGCTAAAAGGCATTCAGCCTTCGATTATAACGGATTATTGCATTGTCACAACAAATCAAAATGGTAAATATTGTCAATAAAAAATATTAAAAAATTTATAAAAAAAGAAAAAAAATCGAAAAATTAAAACGAGTTCCGCTTAATAAGAAACTGCCTCTGGGAAATCATTGTGACGCCTTTTACGTAAAGAACTCAACCTGTAGTCCCAAAAAGTTTAAGACTAATTAAGAAATTTTGATACCAACCAGCCTCGGAATATCCCTGGATGTTAATTTTTTATTGGAAGTCATGGAATTCAATTCTAAATTGCAATAAAAAGGAGCTTCTCAAAATACTTACCTTTCAGTTTTTACTTAGGGGGATTTGAGGGTCAATTTTTATACTCGTATCATATTTCCATTCCATTCCGTATCTACCGCCCAAATGCTTGCAGCCCTGCTTCACGTAGCGGATCGATCTTTATCGTTCCTTTTTTAAAAAGGAACTAGTTCCTTAAGGTAGTCCCTTTGCTCTATATAGTTCCGAATAGATAGTTCTTTTGAATCTATCTCTGCAGAATCAAAAAAGCAACGAGATCAGAAAAAGGAACAATCTTAATCGAAGAGCTGGTACTAGTTCCAATCATTTCTCTTTCGGAATAGTTCCAATGAACTGGTTCGTTCCATCTCTGGCTCTACCCAACTCTGGAATCAATCCTCCTCCATTTGCTGAAAATCGGCAAAAAAAAAAACAGATTGGATATGATATAACCCAAACCAAAAAGAAAACAAAATTTTTCGATGGGACCATTACATAAATTCTAGGGAGGAATTATTTTTTTTAATTTGGGCAATCTAAAAACCATTTCTTAAGCGTATGGCCTCAAAAATGGAACTAGGCTATTCATTTAGTTCCATAGTTTCCTTTAGTTCAAGAATCATTTGAAAAAAAAAACTCTTGCACAAATTTACACACATCGAAGAAGCCTTTAACCATCAGTTTCAATAAATTTGGAAGGTATTTAGGGTTCTAAGCTCTTTAAAGGCTCTACAATTACTTTTGTGACACGTCGCTATTATAACCTCCAAAGAAGGGCTGATGGAAGCGTTTAGATTTTTTTCGGTTAGCTTCGCAAAGGTAACTATTAGGTCAATATTCATTTAGTTCCATAGTTCATATTAGTTCAATCGTTCATTGGTATACATTAGTTAATTCGATCAACGAACGTGAAGAACTAGTTAAATGATTCAATCAAATGTTACTAGACAAACGAGTGCAAAAATGAACAACTGAAGCAAAGGGAACTACATGAACCAGAAAACCCGTACTTAGTACTGATCGTTCCATTTGCGGAATAGTTCCTTTGAACTTGTTCGTTCCGGCCACGACCCAGCTCTATTAAGATTTTATCCCCTAAACATTTTATAAAAAATGCACATATACATTTTTTAAACCTTTTCCATTTTTTGAAGACTTGAAAATTAAAAAAAAAAAAAATTAAGATACCTATTTTGAACCTTTTCTTCAACCAAATTGCCTGTAATTTTCTATTTTGGGTTCTCATTGGTTCTCTCTGACAACAAAAAATAATTAATATTCAGGTCGATACATTTTCACAGAAAAAAAATCTGCAGACCATTAGTTCGATATTTTTTCGATAGAATAAATTCTGTAGACTCTCAGGTCAATTGTTTTCTTCTATAGAAAAAATTATGCAGAATCTCAGGTTGGTGTCTTTACTATAGAAAGAAAATGCAGACCCCTAAGTCGATATTTTTTCTATAGAAAAAAATTCTGCAGAACACTAGGCCGATATTTTTCTATAGAAAAAATTGTGCAGTCCCCCAGGTCGATATTTTTATAGAAAAAATTCGGCAGACCCTCGTCGATTTTTTTCCAAAGAATGAAATGGGTGTTTTTTCACAGAAAATATTTTGCAGATCCTGAGGTCGGTGTTTTTTTTTTTTTTTTTTTTGGTATAACCTTATACAACTATATATCTCGATTGTGTCCATACCGCTATTTGTAAAGATTGTTCTGGTTATTCTTTGTTTATTCGATCGATTTTGAATGATGATTGCATGAATCTTGATCATTCGCAAGGACTTTGAAATTTTAATTATTCCGACGGCATAACTAATTATACATTTTTTCAAGACTATTAAAAATTGCACAGTAAGAGTCAATGTTATTACAAAAATCTTAACAATCAATAGATTTAATTTTCCCTAAGTTCATTGAACTTTAAAATTTGCTCATACTTTTTTCCCAATCCATTGTTTGTTTTTTTTACATTTCAAAATCCTCCGAATGTAAAACAACCCTTGTCTTTCATTGTCTTTTATCGCAATCCCCATACAAATGGGTAAAATGATAATAAAATATTGATTTGATAAAATGTGTATCACATTTCTTCAAATTCTGATGAAGGTGATAGACATCTGCACGGGGTGAATTAATGTGAATCTGCAAAACAAAAAAAATCTTTTCGGGTGTTTTTTTCTTTACACGCAATTTTTTTTATGATGTTATAAAAACAACAAACACACGCACTCACATAGATTAATGTTTGGTTAGATTTTAAGGGGGGCACATTAATAAATAAAATTTTTATGATGCTGCACTCCAAAAAAAACCGAAAATGTAAAATTTAGGTAGCGAAAAAATAAAATAAAAATGTGAACTATAAAATCCGGAAACAAATCATAAATCATTATGATCAAAATACAATTTTTTTTTTTGAAATACAAAAATTTGCATTTGATTGTGGAAATTAATTGAATTTGGAAAACATTTAAAACCCTCAGGATTGTACTAAATTTCTATTGACAAAGTTCGTCTGGATTTTGGCTACAGAAAATTTTACAGGAGCCTCAAGTCGATATTTTTGCTATAGAAAAAATTTTGCAGACCCTCACGCCGGTATTTTTTCTATAGAAAAAAATTCTGCAGACCCGCAGGTCGATATTTTTTCTATAGAAAAAATTCTGCAGACCCGCAGGTCGATATTTTTTCTATAGAAAAAATTCTACAGACACTCAGGTCGGTGTTTTTTTTTCTATAGAAAAAATTCTGCAGACCCTCAGGTCGATATTTTTTTTTATAGAAAAAATTCTGCAGAACTTCATGTCGGTGTTTATTTCTATAGAAAAATTTCTGCAGATCCTCAGGTCGGTGTTTTTTCTATAGAAAAAATTCTGCAGACCCTCAGGTCGGTGTTTTTCTCTATAGAAAAAATTCTGCTGACCCTCAGGTCGGTGTTTTTTCTATAGGAAAAATTCTACAGACCCTCAGGTCGGTGTTTTTTCTATAGAAAAAATTCTGCAGACCCTCAGGTCGGTGTTTTTTCTATAGAAAAAATTCTGCAGACCCTCAGGTCGGTGTTTTTTTAATTTAATAGGCATTTGAAATATTTATCTTGCCGCATAGAACAAATTTTCAATTTCCTGTTATGTTAGTCACATTATTTTCATTAGAATTTTATTCATTAAAATTAACAAACATCTGCACCCCAACAAACAGAGATGTTCAAATGGCAATCATCAACACCCCCTCTTAAATTAATAAATCTATTAAAAATATATTTTCAAAGAAACAAAATTATACTTAGCTGACTAATCGTCAAGGAAAGAAGGCACATTAAAACTTATTCTACGAATCAAACTAAATGAACCTAACTAAGTATAGATGTGTGATAATACTATTTACTATTAATTATATATGGAATGGGGTTTAGTCATTTAAATTAGCAAATAGCTGCAAAAAATATACTTAGAAAAAAAATAATAAATTCAAAATCTATGGCACATTTCACCTATCTTAATATTTCATATTTCACAACAACAAAAAAGGAAACATTATTTTAGTCAAAATTCTCTTTTGCTGATCTCAAAATAAATTATAAATCTTTTTTAAATATGATAGAAGAAATCCCTCTCTAGAAATAAAACCGAAATGATGCTTCTAAACGCTTCGGTTCACCTTTAATTTGTGAAAAGTGAGAGAAAAAAATTACAAAAAATAAAAACAAAATCTAATAAAACCAAAGTGGCCTAGTCCAACCATATGCCTGCCTGCCTGGCCTGTCTTGTCTATCTGTGGTTGGGAGGTTGTGTGTGCAGAAGATGAAGAAAAAAAGGCGCAAAATGGAAATTCACATCTCATGAATTGCGAATATTTTTGTTGTTGTTGGTCTTTTTTTCCTTTTTGGTGCAAATATTAATAAATTATACCGCAAATAAAATTCTTTGATTCTCTAAATTATGATTTAATAGTCTATTTTTAATTAAATGCAATGCCAAAAACAACAACTACAGCGACAGCAGCATCAGCACCACCATGTATCAAACGTTCAACTACAAAGCCCAACGAGTACCAACCAACACTTGGTTGGTATAGATATTAACAGAATTATTAAAAAATATATCTAGAAAATAAATAATAAATGTGAAGGAATTATTAGTATGTAGATGGAAAGAAGTGAACATTGGCTAATGGCGAAAAATGATATAAAAAACAAGATAAACTGAATATAGATAGAGTCATGGCAACATATTAAAAAGTATCATAGACCTTCAGGTCACAAAAATCACAGATCCAGTGGTTTTACTATAGATACAAATCGGAGACCCTCAGTTCAGTGTTCTCTTCTGCAGAATAAATTTTACAGACCCTCAGGTCTGTGTTTTTTTTTTTTTCATAGAAAAAAATTCACAGACCTTAAGGTCGGTATTTTTCTATAGGAAAAATGCTGCCAACGCCTAAATTGTTATTTTACAGAACAAATTCTGCTGACCCACAGTTCGGCTTGTTATTTTTTCTGTAGAAAAAAATTTTTAGACCCTCAGGTCGATATTTGTTCTATAGAAAAAATTCTGAAACCCCTAAGTGTTTTTCTATAGAGAAAAATCTGCAGACCCTCAGGGCGGTGTTTTTTCTATAGACAAAAGAATTGCAGACCCTCAGGTCGGTGTTTTTTCCATAGGAAAAAAACTTGCTGACCCTCAGGTCGGTGTTTTTTTCTATAGAAAAAGTTAAGACCATTGGGTCGTTGATTTTTTTATAGAAAAAATTCTGCAGGCCTT